TTACACTGTTATCTGTTGCCAATACTGTTAATCACGAAGCTCAAACCCTCAAACCTTTCAATGCAACAGAAATGTGAGATTTACTTTTTCCCAATTAGATTTTTTCAAGCAAAACAATAAAGTAAAAACAGGCCATTTTATGATTTTTTAAAGTCCCAAGTAATACTTAAGCTAACAGCACTCCAGCTTTTAAAAAGTGGGCAATTCTATGGGTTTTGTAAATCCCTTATGACTATATTAAGCAATACTAATTTAAGGGACAAATTTCAGTTCCACAGGTCTTTGGCCTGCCTAGAAACTCTATGCTGGCAGCCAAGCTTAGATCTGCAGCTTTATGCGCATAGAAACTATGTCTATAACCAACTTCTCAATACATTTTAATCAGTGCTATGGTGCCTCTGTCATATTTTAGTTGGAGTGGAATAAACCTAAAATTATTTATTTGCCTACCAAATATGTAGTAGATCCAGAAGGGACCGTATATTTTTGGTTGATTCGAAGCTCACTTAACCTGTATGCGGTCTTGTAATAATGTAACTACATGTGAATTCCATATTTTTTGAGCAGCACGTAGGCGTTGTTTAGTAGGTTTAAAACCTTTGGAAAAGTAGTTGGGTGGCTTTATCATAGCTGAGCATTTTTTAGAATGTGAGATTATAGTTAAGTTTTTGACTCTTAGATTTATCTAACCCTAGCAAAGTGATGAAATGAAAAGAAAGACCAACCACTCTTGAAACTCAAAATTCATTGAGCCTGGAACATAACACTTTTGTTTGGTGTGTTGACTTGGCTACATTAGTTGGCTGGCTATAAACCAAGAGAGATGGAAAGGATGCTTTGTCAATTTGTGCTGTAGATGGTGCAATCTGCACTGCCAAGTTCAAAGCCCTATTTGCCAGATTCCCTCCTTATCCAAATCCTCATGTATTTGAAAGCTTTATGTGTCCCTTGAGACCTTCTGATAAATGTGATTCCACCATACTCCCAAGAACCCAAAGATCTAAGATTAGCTAGTGAAAAGATAATTTATAGTACATTTACCTTGAGCTCTGATTGGCAGTGTTTGTGTTAGTGTAGTCTCTGTGTTCTATCTAATGTGTGTGTGTACGCAAACACAAAGGAATGACAAGTTAGTTCCAAAACAACAATTTTTAAAAGTATGGGGGGAAAAACCTATACGTACTCACTTAAGACTGTTTTCCTCATGATTTTATAATGTCTTTTCCAAGATGACATGCTCTGATTTTTTTAACATTTAATCGAAAATTTCTTTTGAAATATAGATAAATCTAATTCAGAAATGTACTTCCTGGCTTCTACTTTAAAAACACCTAACACAATTTTCAGATACTTTAACATGTATGCCTTTATAATATTCCTATTTTACTAAAGGGGGTAGGAAGAAAGCCCCAAAATAATAAAATGTATTGTTTACACTCTTTTTCACATTCTTATACAAAGTGAATGACAAAGTTATGGTCAGTACCAATAACATCTGAATTTCCTTACTATATTGATGATGATTATGATGATTGTTAGCATTTATTAAGCAGTTTTTATGTACCAGGTTGTTCTATGCATTCCTCACAACAACCAGAACCATCAGTGAAAATTATTATTTTATAGATGAAATAACTGGGGCACCAAGAGGTTTAGTAACTTGTCCATTGTTATACTGCTACAGCTTATATCACTAAAGCACAATGCCTGGCTGGGTTCTGTGGCTCATGCGTGTAATCCTAGCCCTTTGGGAGGCCAAGGCAGGAGGATTGCCTGAGCCTAGGACTTTGAGACCAGCCTGAACAACAGAGTGAGACCCCATCTCTGAAAAACAAATCAAAACATAAAAGCACAGTGCCTTTCATCATCAATTCCCTTTTAATCCCATCAAAGACCAACTCAAATTTGAATAATTACAGCACTTAGATTTAGTGTGAGAGGAGAATTGAAGTTCAAGTCTCATATTAAGCAAATTAGCCTTCTCATTTGACATTAATAATAACATTGCTTATTTCCTAGAAATACAATAGACTATTAAGTAGTAAGTGCAGATCTCATACTTCTGTGGCAGATAGATAGAATAATCTCTTTAGAAATATTTGGTTTTTCTAAAATGTGATGTTTTACTTTGGTTTTGGACTCTAGTAAGTGGCCTTAAAAAAAGTGACTTTGTTTTTAAATTAAATTTTTATTTTTATAGATCTAGGGGGTACAAGTGCAGCTTTCTTACATGCATAGATTTCATAGCAGTGAAGTCTAAGCTTTTAGTACACCCATCACCCAAGTAGTGATATGGTACCCAATAGGCAATTTTTCAGCCCTCACCCTGCTCCCACCTTCCTACCTTTCGGAGTCTCCAGTGTCTGTTATTTAACTCTGTATGTCCATGTGTACCCCTTGTTTAGCGCCCACTTATGAGTGATAACATGTGGTATTTTACTTTCTGTTTCTGAGTTAATTTATTTAGGATAATGGCCTCCAGTTCCATTCATATTCCTGCAAAAGACATGTTTTCATTCTTTTTATGGTATTCCATGGTACATAGATACCACATTTTCTTTACCCGATCCTTCGTTGAGGACACTTAGGCTGATTCCACATTTTTGTTATTGTGAATAGTTCTGTGATAAAATATGAGTGCAAGTATCTTTTTAATATAATTTTTTTTCCCTTTGGGAACATACTGAGTAGTAGAATTGCTGGATCAAATGGTAATTCTATTTTTAGTTCTTTGAGAAATCTCCATACTGTTTTCCATAAAGGTTGAACTAATTTACATTCCCACCAACAGTGTATAAGCATTCCCTTCATTCCTTTTCTCCACATCCTTGCCAATATCTGTTGTTTTTTTCTTTATTTTTTACTTTTTTTTTTGGAAACAGTGTCTCCCTCTGTCATCCAGGCTGGAGTATGGTGGCACGATCATAACTGTCTGCAACCTCAAACTCCTGGGCTCAAGCAATCCTCCCAGGATCATCGCAGCCTCCTGAGTAGCTGGGACTACAGGCATGTGGTTTTAATTTGCATTTCTCTAATAATTAAGGAAACATTGACTTTGAAGACTTTTTTTTATCCTCTAGTAAAATGTTATTTGAAAAGACAATGCTTATAGGTATAATTTTGTATTGTTGGTCATATAAGAATTGATTAGCCACTTGAACTCTCAAAGTACGAAGTGAGAAAGTCAGTCTTTTAAATGTGGAAGTTATTTTTTGAATGATCTCTGAGACCCCTTTTAATGGCATGGGAACTTAAATGTATGTTGTGTATGTGTGCATGCACGCATGTGTGTCAGGATGGGTTTCACATCTGAACGTTGCCATCCAAATATGCTTACACATATCCTCGTGGTATTGTTGTTCATGGGTGATGAACAGTGTGGATACTTTGTAGCTTCTTTTTTACTTTTTAAAAAATAGTCTTATTGGCTGGGTGTGGTGGCTTACACCTGTAATCCAAGCACTCTGAGAGGCCAAGGCGGGCACATCACGAGGTCAAGAGATCAAGATCACCCTGGCCAACACGGTGAAACCCCGTCTCTACTAAAAATACAAAAATTAGCTGGGCTTGGTGGTGCATGCCTGTAGTCCCAGCTACTCAGGAGGCTGAGGCAGGAGAATCACTTGTACCCAGGAGGCAGAGGTTGCAGTGAGCCAGGATCATGCCACTGCACTCTGGCTTAGCAACAGAGCGAGATTCAGTCTAAAAAAAAAAAAAAAAAGTCGTAGTCTTATTACATGCTATAATTGGTACTTACATCCAGATAGGTCAAGCTCTACTATTGTAATTAACCCTGAAATCTAAGTGGTTTAAAATCACAAGGAGGCCCAGCACAGTGGCTCACGCCTCTAATGCCAACACTTTGAGAGGCTGAGGCAGGTGAATCACCTAAGGTCAGGAGTTCAAGACCAGCCTGGCCAATGTGGCCATACCCCATCTCTACTAAATAATACAAAAATTAGCCCAGCTTGGTGGTGGGTGCCTGTAATCCAAGCTACTTTGGAGGCTGAGGCAGGAGAATCACTTGAACCTGGGAGGCAGAGGTTGCAGTGAGCCAAGATCACACCATTGCACTCCAGCCTGGCCGACAGAGCAAGACTCCGTCTCAAAAAAAAAAAAAAAAAAAAAAAAAATCACAAGGTGTTTGTTTCCTATCACAGTCTTAGTGGGTCAGTCATCTCTCTTCCGTGGCTCTCCTTCAAGCAGTGACTTGAATTTCTAGGCTCCTTCTATCTGTAAGGTCACCATCCTAAAACTATGACCTTTGGGTCACTGTGGAAGGGGAAGGAAATTGAGGCAATTGCACAGTGGTGGAAGGGGGAAGGGAACGTTTTATGGCAGGCCTGGAAATAGCATATATTATTCCACATCCTATTGTCCAGGATTCAGTGACATTCCCCTAACGCAGTTGCACAAGAGGCTGGGAAATGTAGAAATCTGGTATGAAAATGAAATGGAGTTTGGGGAACACATAGCATTGTCTCTGCCTCAGTGGAAAGGCAACTTCTTGGACAGAAAAGTGAAGAGGTACAAACTACAACTATGTTGTGACTAGGTACAGTTTCATACAAAATGTAATATGTCCCTAATTCAGTATGTACTCTCCCTCTTCTACATAAGGGATTATTAGGGCTTAGCAGCTTCCAGATTGCAGTAGATCTAGTCTTAGAGTCAGTGGTCAGAGGAGAATGGGATTACTAAATTGTCTTCATATTCCAATAATTGAATGGCACCCAGGTACTACTTCTATGGATTCTTAATGTTTTACCTTTATCTTCAAGAATTCGTAGATCATCTTCCTGTATCCTCAGTGCATGTTAAGATTACTAAATTTGGCCAGGCACGGTGGCTCATGTCTATAATCCCAGCACTTTGGGAGGCCAAGGTGGGTGGATCACTTAAGGCCAGAAGTTCAAGACCAGCTTTGCCAAAATGGTGAAACTCCATCTCTATTAGAAGACCCAATCCAAAAAAATATTTGCTGAGCCTGGTGACTCCCACCTGTAATCCCAGCTACTCGGGAGGTCAAGGCATAAGAATCACTTGGGGGGCTGGAGCGATGGCCTGGGTCTGGAGCCCGCCGTGTCCCCAAGGCCCAGACAGCGGGTCGAGGGTCTAGTAGGCACGGAACTGGCTTCTCTCAGGCCGACCCTTCAAGCCAGGCTCCAGATCTTCCTCAGCCTCGGGCCTCCTTCATGTTCAGGACGGAGGCCAGAGAACAGTGATCATCATACACCCCATCCGGCTTCCTGGGCCGGGCATTTTCTCTGCGGCCAAGCAGTGTTGGGATTGTAGCTGCTGGGAGCCCCCTCCTGCCACCACCTGTCCTGCAGGAAGGGACTGACGCGTTCCCACGTTCTTGCTCTGCACCTCCCCACTCTCTTCCCATTCAGGAACAAGTTTCTCTTCCTTCCCCATTGGAAATCCTCCCCCGGAGGTCCAAAACACCTATTTTAAGTGTGCCCTTCCTCAGCTCCTGGAGCACCCTTAGAAGTATTGCCTACTTATCCGGGCTGAGAATCCTTCATTTTTGAGTTGGCTTTTTTTTCGCCCTTTGGAAGATAAAAGTCCCTTTCCACCCTCTACTAACACTCTGCGCCCAAGGCCTTATCCTTTGGAGTCACCAGCTTCTTGGCCATTTCTATGTGATCTCCCCCACCCATCTGAGTTCCAGTTTCCTCTGGGCTCCAATCTCCAGTCCCTGGCGGATCTGGTCAGTCCCACCCCTAGGTGGGAGTGACCAGGGGGCTCTGGCCCAGGATCCCCAACCCTGGAAGGCAGCTCCAAGGCAGGAAGAGAATTGGGCATTGGGTAGGAACCTGGCAGCTTAGGAGTCAGGGCTCCACTCACCCCACACAAAAAGATGAAAAAGCGCAAAGAGCTCAATGAATTGATTGGTTTGGCTGGGGACAGCCGGAGAAAGAAGCCCAAGAAAGGCCCAAGCAGTCACCGTCTGCTTCGCACTGAGCCTCCTGACTCAGACTCTGAGTCCAGCTCGAAAGAGGAAGAGGAATTTGGTGTGGTTGGAAATCGCTCTCACTTTGCCAAGGGAGACTATTTACGATGCTGCAAGATCTGTTATCCGCTCTGTGGTTTTGTCATCCTTGCTGCCTGTGTTGTGGCCTGGGTTGGCTCGGTGTGGATGCAGGTTGCTTTCAAGGAGGATCTGGAAGCCCTCAAGGAAAAATTTCGAACAGTGGAGTCTAATCAGAAAAGCTCATTCCAAGAAATCCCCAAACTTAATGAAGAACTACTCAGCAAGCAAAAACAACTTGAGAAGATTGAATCTGGAGAGATGGGTTTGAACAAAGTCTGGATAAACATCACAGAAAAGAATAAGCAGATTTCTCTGTTGACTTCTGCAGTGAACCACCTCAAAGCCAGTATTAAGTCAGCTGCAGACTTGATTAGCCTGCCTACCACTGTAGAGGGACTTCAGAAGAGCGTATCTTCCATTGGCAATACTTTAAACAGTGTCCATCTTGCTGTGGAAGCACTACAGAAAACTGTGGGTGAACACAAGAAAATGATGGGATTACTGCAGAGTGATATGAATCAGCACTTCTTGAAGGAGACTCCTGGAAGCAACCAGATCATTCCATCACCTTCAACCACATCAGAACTTGACAATAAAACCCATAGTGAGAATTTGAAACAGATGGGTGATAGATCTGCCTCTCTGAAAAGAGCGTCTTTGGATCAAGCCACCAACAAAACAGATACGGTAAAAATGCAAAGCATAAAGAAAGAAGATAGTTCAAATTCTCAGGTATCCAAGCTAAGAGAGAAACTCCAGATGATCAGTGCTTGTACAAACAAACCTGAGAGCAACAGGCCTCCAGCGACCGCCAATGAAGGGCAAGTACAGAGTTTCACATCAAAGCCATCAGCATTGCCAAAATTTTCAGTTTCTTGGAGATCCAGTTGAGAAAGCTGCCCAACTAAGACCTGTCTCTCTACTAGGAGTTTCCAGCATTGAAGATCTTCAGGATTTATTCCACAAGACTGGCTAGGACGTGGATGGGAAGCTGACCTACCAGGAAATCTGGACCTCCCCAGGTTCTGCTATGCCAGAACCAGAGAGCTTGAGAGCATTTGATTTTGATGGAGATGGGAGATACTCATTTCTGGAGCTAAGGGTAGCTTTAGGTATCTAGCCTCATCAGGCATATTTTAGAAATGGACTGCCTAATATCTACTTACCTAACAACAAAACAACCCTTACTTACCCATCAGTCCTCTAGTCCTCCAAACTACTGTAGCAGATACTTTGCCACCATTTAACTTGTTTGAAGAAGCCATATAAAAGTTATTTTTTTAAAGAAAAAAAAAAAAGAATCACTTGAACCCGGGAGGCGAAGATTGCAGTGAGCCAAGATCCTGCCACTGCACTCCAGCCTGGGTGACAGAGTGAGACTCTGTCTCCAAAAAAAAAAAAAAAAAAAAAAAAAAATTACCAGACTTACAGGAAGCACAACAATAAGCACCACATGTGTTTCTTATCATGTAGAGGACTAAACTGGAAATTATATGATGTAGGTTTGTTTGCCTACCTTTAATTTTCCACTATATAAGAATAGGATTGGTCTATAAAAACATAAGAAGTATTTGTGGACTTCTTGTACTGGGCATCATGAAAGAACTAACATCAGACCTTCCTTCCTGCCATAAACAACTATTAAACTAAACAAAATGTACAAAACAATTTCTTTTGGGCATGGGATAAGGCACAGTGCACGACTATAATCCTTGAGAGAAAAGGAGCTCAAAATGAGAATTTTACATTCAACCTTGGGGGGCAATTTTCCAAACCACTTTCAGAGAATTGGAATAGATAAATAAATTGGAGTTTGGGCCTGCAAAGGTTACTGGAAATTACAGGACAGGGTTAGGTAGATAGAAAAGAGTGACAAAGAAGGAGCCCCAGGAATCCACATAGGAGTTTCCTTTGGGCTCTTGGCCAAATGGTAAACTGCATATGTGCTTGGCAAGATTCTGTAAGCTATACCAGCAAAAAACAGCTGAAGGAGCTGAAAACCAAACCTAGATTTCAGAAGCTGCACAAAGCTATGAAGACATTGGAGTTCTGATCCACTCAAGAGTGGAGATACCATGTTGGGACACCAAAAAGACCATGCCCTAGGTGTAAGGACCATGCCATATGAGTAAGAGCCAAATCCCAGAACTAAGGAAAACCGGAAATAGACTCACCATAGAGGCCTAAAATAAACCTCAACAGAATCAAAGTGATCTACCAGTAATTTGACTTTCTTTCAGAAAAATATTTGGCACTCTTCAGTGGAAGATAACAAAATCTGGAATTTTTCTATGCCCAGCATAAGATTTTTTAAATTGCTGAACATGTAAAGCAGCAGAGGAAAAACTGACCCATTATTAAGAGAAAAGGTGGTCAACTGAAGAGACTTACAGATGACCAAGATTTTGGAATTAACGCAGAAGGAGTTTAAACTCATAAATGTTTTAAAATTTAAAAGATCTTTCTCCTGTTGAACGTTATATGAGACCAAAGCCCTGCCTGACAGCTTGACTGTGACCTTATGAGCGAGCTTGACCCAGAGTCATCTAGCTAAGACAGCTAAACCACACGCAGAATTCTGACCTACCAGATACCGTGAGACAATAAATTACAATATGTAAAGGAAAAGATTGAAGAAATGGCAAAAGAGATGGATGAAATTACAATAGAAAAAGAGAAACTCGACTGGGTGTGGTGGCTCACGTCTGTAATCTCAGCACTTTGGGAGGCCAAGGGGAGGGATAGCCTGAGCTCAGGAGTTTGTGATCAGCCTGGGCAACATGGTGAACCCCATCTCTACTACAAATACAAAAAACAAATTAGCCAGGCGTGGCAGCGTGCGCCTGTAGTCCCAACTACTCAGGAGGCTGAGGCAGGAGAATCACTTGAACCCATAAGGCAGAGGTTGCAGTGAGCTGAGATCGTGCCGCTGCACTCCAGTCTGGGAAACAGAGTGAGACTTCATCTCAGAAAAAAGAAAAGAAAAGAAAAGAAAAGAAAAGAAAAGAAAAGAAAAGAGAAACTCTAAAAAGAATTAAATGAAAATTCTAAAGCAGAAAAATATGGTAATCTGACGTGAAGAATCCAGGGGATGGGCTTCCCAGCAGATGGACACAGCTGAAAAGGGGATGAGGAAACTTAAAGACAGGCTAATGGAAATTATCCAAATTAAAGCACAGAGAGAAAATAAAAGGAGGAAAACAGGACAGAGTTATAGAGAACAATGGGATAATATAAAATAATCTAACAGGTATAATGGGGAGAGAACGGGGTAGAAAAAATATTTGAAGATAAAATGCCCTCAATTTTTCCACATTTTATGAAAGATATCAACCTACATGTCCAAGAAATTCAGAGAACCCCAAGCAGATAAATTATTTGAAGGCCACACCTAGGCTCATTGTAGTCAAAGTGCTATAAACCAAAGATAAAGAGAAAATCTTAACTGCATCCAAAGGAAAAATACATAGTACATTTTAAGGTATAACAATAAAAATGATGGCTAATTTTTTATAGGCAACAATGAAAACTAGAATGAAAAGACATCTTTAAAGTGATGAGGCTGGGTGCAGTGGCTCATACCTGTAATCCCAGCACTTTGGGAGGCCAATGTGGGTGGATCACCTGAGGTCAGGAGTTCGAGACCAGCCTGGCCAACATGGTGAAATGCCACCTCTACTAAAAATACAAAAATCAGCTGGTTGTCATGGTGGACACCTGTAATTCCAGCTACTCAAGAGGCTGAGGCATGAGAATCTCTTGAACCTGGGAGGTGGAGGTCGAGGTGAGCTGAGCTCATGTCACTGCACTCCAGCCTGGGTAACAGAGTGAGACTCAGTCTCAATAAATGAATAAATAAATGAAGTGATGAAAGAAGAAAAGAATTTGTCTACTTGGAATTCTATATCCAGTGAAAATATTCTTCAAAATTGAGGGCCTTCACTTCACCTTCCTCTTCCTCTTTGTCAGAGCCAAGAATTAGGCTGGCACAATCAGTGGGGCCAGGGTCAAGAATTTAGCTGGCAGGTTTGGCAGAGACAGGTTTAGGAAGATGGCCTGTATAGTTAGGAGATTGATTACAAATGGGGATTGCCAAAAAGTATATTGAGGATAATAGGAGCTAGGTTTTCAGTGTTGGAGAAATTACAAATATGGTAACAGAGGATGCTAGAATAAATCTTGTGGTGTTGGATTGGTATTCGAACTATTGGTGTGAATTATTTGAAATTATAAATTTCAAATTATCTTACTACAAAATACTTAATAATTGTTGATAAGTACAGATATTTATTAAGTTTACAGTGGAGAAATAAGGCACATGCCATCTTTTTAAAAATTGTGGTAAAATCCAAATAATTAAAATTTATTTATTTATTTATTTGGAGACGGAGTCTCTCTCTATTGCCTGGCTGGAGTGCAGTGGCGTGATCTCGACTCACTGCAAGCTCCACCTCCCGGGTACACGCAGTTCTCCTGCCTCAGCCTCCCGAGTAGCTGGGACTATAGGCACCTGACACCACGCCCGGCTAATTTTTTTGTATTTTTAGTAGAGATGGGGTTTCACCACGTTGACCAGGATGATCTCGATCTTTTGACCTTGTGATCTGCCCGCCTCGGCCTCCCAAAGTACTGGAAATACAGGCGGGAGCCACTGCGCCGGCCAAAATTTACCATTTTGACCATTTTCAGTGTATGTTCAGTGGCATTAAGTACACTCACAACAATGTGCAACATTGTGCAACAATCACGACTCTCTCTCTCCAAAACCTTTTTGTCTTCCCACACTGATATTCTGTACTCATTAAGCAACAACTACCCATTCTCCCTTTCCCCCAGACCCTGGCAGCTACCATTCTACTTTCTGTCTTTATGAGTTTGACTACTTTAGGTACCTCATATAAGTGGAATCATACTGTATTTGTGTTTTTGTGACTTATTTCACTTAGCATTATGTCCTCCAGTTTCATCCATGTTGTAGAATTTCCTGTTTTTAAAGGCTGAATAATATTCTGTCATATGTACATATCACATTTTGTTTATCATTCATACATTGATGGTAACTTGGGTTGCTTCCATCTTTTGACTATTGAGAATAGGCTGCTATGAACATGGGTGTAGAAGTAACTGAGTCTCTGCTTCCAATTCTTTGAGGTATATATGGAATTGCAGGATCGTATGTAATTCTCTGTTTAATTTTTTGAGGAACTGCCATATTATTTTCCACAGTGTCTGCACCATTTTATATTCCCACCAGCAGAGCAAAGGGTTCAAATTTCTCCACATCCTTAACACTTATTTTCTGTTTTGTTGTTTGTTTGTTAATTTTTTATAATAGTCATCCTAATGGGTGTGAAGTGGCATCTCATTGTGGTTTTGATTTGCATTTCCCTAATGATTAGTGATGTTGAACCTCTTGTGTTTGTTGGTGTCTGTATATCTTCTTGGATAAATGTCTATTCAATTTCTTTGCCTGTTTGCTGCTGCTGCTGCTGCTTCTGCTGCTGCTTCTCCTCCTCCTCCTGCTCCTCCTCCTCTTTTTTTTTTTTTTTTTTTTTTTTTTTTTTTTTTTTTTTTTTTAAATAAACCAGTGCTCCTTATGTTGCCCAGGATGGAGAGGCTTTTCACTACAATCATAGTGTACTGCAGCCTTGAACTCCTGGGCTCAAGCAATCCTCCCATCTCAGCTGGGACTACAGATGTGCACCACCATGCCAGACCCCTTTGCTCATTTGCAAATTGGAGCTGCTGTTGTTGTTGTTGAGTTGTAGGAATTCTTTATAAATTCTGAATATCAGATATGTGATTTGCAAATTTTTTCTACCATTCTGCAAGTTGTCTTTCACTTTATTGATATAGTCCAATTGCCTTTTTTTTTTTTTTTTTTTTTTTTTTTTTTTGACAGAGTCTTACTCTGCAACCAAGGCTGGAGTGCTATGGTGTTATCTCAGCTCACTGTAACCTCTGCCTCCCAGGTTCAAGCGATTCTCCTGCCTCAGCCTCCTGAGTAGCTGGGATTATAAATATGCACCACCATGCCCAGCTAATTTTTGTATGAGATGGGGTTTCACCATGTTGACCAGGCTGGTCTCGAACTTCTGACCTCAAGTGATCCACCTTCCTTGGCCTCCAAAAGTGCTATGATTACAGGCGTGAGTCACTGCACCTGGCCAGTTGCTCTAATTTTTTTTGTTGCTTCCTGTTCCTTTAATGTCATAGCTAAAAGATTATTGCCAAATACAACATCATGAAGCTTTTTACTCTGTGTTTTTTTCCTGAGAATTTTATAGTTTAGCTCTTACCTTTAAG